AAAAAAAAAGCACAAGAAAGGCAACAATGATCAGCTATCGATTTCGCAAAAATATAATAGGGCGCCAAAAATGAAAAAAAAACAGGCGTTTTGTCAGTTTAGGGCAGTGCTGTACTCACGAGTAAAGTGATCATAACAGGAGCATAAATGATGAACATGTAGGGTGAGTCGGTGTGGTTGGTCCAGCACGGCGTGTCATGAGTGAAGTGAGTCACCACAGCCCAGGACAAGCCCACAAGCAGGGGGATAACTGCGGGAAGAAAATGACAATACGTATCAATTGGTCGCTTTTAAGCACAAGGGGGCTATCCCAAAAATGCTGTTTTGAGAAAATCGAAGGTAAAGTTTTGGCCCCCTATCCAGTTTCTTTAAAAGACAAGGATAGTTTTCTGTATAACCAACACATATACACACCGATGAAACTAAACTTCTCATAGGTAGGGCATTGCCCACTTTTGGCTTAGGTCAAGATTTCTGGAAGCCCCTGAAATCTGAGTTGTCCTTAAGAGTGACCAAATACTAATTGCATTTATATAGGGCGCATCCTTGTTCCACAGAAAGCTCAATGTGATTTACGAATATTATTACCCCAGCAGATCCAAGGACATTCAGAAACATTCTCGGATCCTCGGGTAGCGCACTGTGCAAAGAGCCCATTTAGTGCTCAAACACTTAACAAACTGATAAGATCATTCGGTGACCATAGCCGTGTACCCATTCTCACTTGGGTGAAGAGCAGAAAATTCGAATAAAGTGCCTTTCCCAAAGGACACAACGTCTGGCCTCTGAAGATGATCCTATTGACAACGTTTTGGCTGCAAGTTCAACAGCCTAACCACTTTCGATAGAGTTATTTTATTCAAGCTGTCTTCTATTCTGACAAACATCCTTTGTGGTTTAATTAATCTGTCACTCAAAAACTTGGCAACATGGTTTAACCGCACTTTCAATCCAAACACACACGCTACAGATATTATTTTTACTGCCCTGACAGTGACTGCTCTAAATTTAATATTTGCAGTACGTTTTTTTTTTTTTTTTTACCAATAATGCCAAATCTGGTGAGAACCGGATTGGCGTAGGCTTTAATATGAGAACTTTACCACCTTTGAATTAGAACAAACACCCCATAATTAAAACCCTACGTGGAACCCCTATCTCACCCTAAATCTCCATCCCAACAATCTCTCTCTTCTCTCTCTCTCTCTCTCTCTCTCTCTCTCTCTT